GGGGGGGGGGTGCGGAAAGTGGCGCGCCGCTGACACCAAAAGCAACAAAAATAAAGCAAAATATTTTTTTTTGTAAAAACAACATCAACATCATCATCATCAACATCATCATCATCCATATATTCATAAGAAGAACCATAGGAAGCACAAGCGCTCTGTCACACCGCCCCCCCCCAATCCCCCCCACCCCTTACACTTTTTTTAAATTAAAAAAAATCCGCTCCTGCTTTGAATGAACCTTTATATCTGAATGGCTTGAAAGGGGAACACACCTGGACACACGATATTACGTCACAGCAATCCTTGGATTTGTAGTTTGAAAAAACAAAATCCTCTATGAAACAAATCTCATACAGCCAAACCACGATTAACAAATGCAACTTAAAAACATACCCTGCGTCTTTTTTTTTCACCCCCCTTCCCTTTTAAAAAAAGAGGGGGAAAACCCCAACTAAAATATGTAAAGGACCGTTCATAGCCGCATGAAGAAGATAAAATAATAAGCTCACAAGAAAGATGAAAGCTTGAAAGGAAGAAACAGGAAAATCAAATGGATGTTTCGGCTAGAAGTCTTCATTAGAAGATGATAGATCCGATGATAGATCCGATGATAGATCCGATGATAGATCCGATGATAGATCCGATGATAGATCCGATGATAGATCCGATGATAGATCCGATGATAGATCTGATTGATTACCCCCCCCCCCGCCCCCATTTAACTGCTATGCTAAACCAGTCACAGAGAATATAGGGGTACGTACGCTTTTCCTTGTCAGAAGAACGAGGGGGTAGTCAGCTGGTAACAGTTTGAGAACTTTGGGAGATTCTTAAATGTGTCCAAAGTCATTACAAACTTTTTTTAAAAATTTAACTATTTCACAGATTACGTACTTCTTTTATATCGCCTAGGGGGCAACGGATCTATCAACTCAGATGTTGAGGTTTAGCCTGACTGATTGGATGCACACAAAATCGTGACTTTGTGAACCGGTGGGTATGAAGATCTATGTGGCAGGTGAGTCACTGCTGTTTGGGTCACGTCTGAGTCACTGATTGGTGGGTGGCAGGTGGGTCGTTACGATATGCTGACAGGCGGGTCATTACGATATGTTGACAGGCGGGTCATTACGATATGTTGACAGGCGGGTCATTACGATATGTTGTCAGGCGGGTCATTACGATATGTTGACAGGCGGGTCATTACAATCTGGTGATCTGACCGACTGGTCATTACACATTTGTGACAGGCGAGTTTTTAAATTCGATATACTGCACCAGCAATCATATGATTGTTTTACATTTCATTCCCCCCCCCCTTCTTTAAAAATAAAAATAAACCCCTGAAACAGTTCTTTTTTTTTTCTTTTTTTTTTTAAAGGAAACAAAATAATAACAAAATTTCCCAATCAATAGTTCACAGTACATCTTCAATAATAACGATTTTTCAGG